GAGATTACATTGTAATGAAAGTTATTGTTTGGATGCACTGATGTGTTAAGTACAACTAGCAGTTGAAGTTCATGCGAAAATAAAACTCTCTTAATTGGGAGGTGATCTTTGGAAGCCCTGCTTGAGGAGTAGAGAGGTAAGACAGCGAAGGAAAAGGAACCAAATGGGCTAATGAGCAGGTTACCATTGTGTGAAACTTTGCCTCAATCGCACTGGAACACCTGAGAGTGTGTAGAGCAAGCCTCAGATTTATCCTGCCTGAGGGGTGAGGAAGCTGGACTATTTAACTACCAATTTATGTCAGTTTTAGATGAGACAGCTATTGGAGATGTTAACTTTATAACACTCTGATCTGTCCAGCATGCAAGACAAATACCATCCAGAGAAAGCTTTTAGCCATATGCCAAGGGGAACCTGACATTTCCTCTGCTGTTGTCTAGTCCACACCTTGGCTAGTTCATTCTGTGTTTTCATTGATATTTTTAAGGAAGTCACTTGGGGAGCAGTGGAGGTCACAGGAGGGCCTTTGGTGGGACAAGCTACAGTCTCCACTGTTGTACTTAATCTCGAGACCATAATTGATATTCATCATTTCCATCCTTTACCACTTCCATTCTCTTGACCAACCTGCCTCTAGTCCATCCCATGGTGCGATAATGCAGTCTTTTATCCCTGAGAGTATGAGTCTCAGGTTACCTGTCCTTGTAACCCAGTTACTCATCCTCCTAGATGTTGTTTCTGCAATTGCCCTTTCGCAATTGACCTCACTGAGTCCCACGGATTCCAGATATACTACTCCCAGCTCCATTACTTAGCAGCCACCCCATGTCCTCTTGGTAATTAGGATGAACTGCCCTTGCCTGCAGAGCAACTGCCTCCTCTAACTTCTGGCCTGTGAGCATGAGGAGCCAAAAATAATCAGGTGGCAGCCGAAGCTGTAGATTTAGTGGGACCCTTACTGTGTCCCCCGGTTAGAACTTTCTAAACCTTTAACTCCATAGATCCTGAAGTTGTAAAAAGAGGAAGCTCACTTTCTTACGTGTAGTGTTACAAGGCATAGTGGGGGCTTCACTCCTACTTCCACATTTCCTATCTAGCTATCAGGCACACAAAACAAACATACTAACATCTTTTAATAGTAGTAGTACCACATCTTAACTGCGTAGGGTGTCATTCCAAGTGAAAAACAGCAGCAATGGCAAACCTGGTCTACAGAGAACAGTCACCACTGAGCTTCTCACTGTCCTCCTCTTTGAGGGACACTCCTCATTGCTTCAGTGAAAGGAGTGTCTTTTGGGCCCTCCTGGGGAACATAATTAGCTGGTACTTTTTCTGGCATCACAAAATAAATACATTGTAACATGCCCACCTCTCTGAGACCTTGGAGCTCTTCTCCAATACTTTGTATAGTTCTGGCATCTCCACATCATTTATTTTAAGTCAATATTATTTCCAACCTTTAAGTAGCTATTCCAGTAGCACATTGGGATCAGCTCCAAGAGCACTTGCCAGAATGTTAAAAATTAACTCATGAAAGAACATTTTCATAGAAATAGATTATCTATTATTTGATCTTACATTCCGTCCTGGCTGATCCAGCATCTCAAGATCAATTTCTTCGAATGTTCTCAGGGTCCTACTAGTACTTACTCGCCAGGTTCTATAGTTCATTTAATTAATAATTCATTTCATCCTGCAACATAGGTCATACCCTTCTGCTCAGGTCATACTGAGAATTGACTCTAGTTGTTTGTCCAGAAGCAATGAGGGGAGATGGAAGCAGAACTTAAGAAGGCTAAGTACCGTCTTATAAAACATCCTACTTGCCCAGCCGATGGGGCTCAATGGACTTAGCATCATCCCATGGACTGTGAGGTCCTGATTCAATTCCTGGTCAGGGCACATACCCAGGTTGCGAGCTTGATCCCCAGTAGGGGGCGTGCATGAGGCAACCAATCAATGTTTCTCTCTCACATCGATGTTTCTATCTCTCTCTCTAAAAAAAAATCAATAAAAACAGTCTGAGGAATAGGGTAGACCCAGAAACACGGAAGTAGGGTACAGACTGACAACCCTCAGAAGAGGGGGGAGTGGGGGGTGGGAAGAGATAAACCACAGAACTTATATGCATGTACACATAACCAATGGACATTGACAACAAAGCCGGGGGACGGGGCAGGGGGGGGATGGGGAGGAGGGTGTCAATGGAGTAAAAAAGGAGAAACATCTGTAACAAAAATAAAATTAAATAAAAAAACAACCCATAATAAATAAATAAAGCATCCTACTGAGGTGGGGCTATTACGAGTCAAGTGGCTGTCTTCCCGCTGGAAAGTGTAAGGGCCTCTTTTTCTGAGCCAGAGTTTCAGAAGAATCTCTGGGTTCCAGACTCCTAAGAGCATCTATCCAAATATCTCCTCCTATATTTCAGGGTCCGGCTCCTTCCCAATAAGGATCCTGATTTTAGTGGAGGAGACTTGCTAGCTTTGTGAATTCAGCCTCCTTTATACCTCTGCTTCTCCTAAAATCAAACTTAGGCTGGATTTTCAGCCTAGTCTAGCCCGTAGCTAAAGGAAAGGAGGCTTATTTTGATTGTTGGTTGGAGGTCTTCAAGCTTTCATCTCAAGTCCTGAATTGAATGTTGGCTGACCAAGTCTGTAATTTTTTTCCCCTCTACAGAAGTTCTTTGGAGATTAAGTAACTCCATAATCCCATATCTTTTAAACACAAGAGCAGTAGAATTTCTCTCTACCTATATTCTGTCCCTGATAGGAGTCTTAATAATGGGGCTACATCTGGCCAGCGATTAGTCCCACCACATTATGCGCCAGCAAGGGGATCCTTGCTACCACCTGGTGGATGATTTGTTTCAAGAAATTGGCAGGTATTGAGGAGCTGCTTCCTGGGCCATCTCTGTCCTAACTGAGGTTGGGCTTGGGCTCCCCCATAATACCCTGAAACAAGAATATCAGGCGGCACCAGCGAAGGAGTGGGGAAGTGAGGGTGGAAGGAAAGGAAGCTAATGAAACATGAGTCAGATGGAAGGTTTCCCACAGGAACCAGGGACTTCATACCACTGGGAAGTTCTGAGACATTGCATAGCACACGCCTCAGAACTGTCTTTCCTGAGGGACAAAAAAAAACCTCAAGTATTCATCCCACAATTCCTGCTATCAGCGGTTGAGGGCTGCTCCTGGAGAAGTTAGCTCCCTGGCACCCTGGTTTGAGTGCCTCAGGGGTCAAGTGCTCCAGAGATCAGAGAATGCCCTCACGGGAAAGGTCACACTTATAATAGGAAGCTGTGTGGTTGGTGCTTATGAAAGCAGTGAATGCCAAAATAATATGGGTAGAACACACCAAAACATCTGTTACGAAAGATAAAGCTCCTGTGAGTATATGAAGAACATCTCTGGAAAATAACGCCATTATAAAGTAGTAGCCACCTGCAGCATATCAGCAGCATAGCCCTTGTGTAAAGTAGGGTACTGCCATGCATGTTTTAGCTGCGTTTTTGTATGTTGATTGGCCTGGCACCTTTCTTTTTATTATTATTTTATTTTTGTTACAGATGTTTCTCCTTTTTTTTCCCCCATTGACACCCTCCTCCCCATCCCCCCCACCCTGTCCCTGGCTTTGTTGTTCATGTCCATCAGTTATGCGTACATGCATATAAGTTCTTTGGTTTATCTCTTCCCTCCCAGCACCAGTCCCTCTTCTGAGGGTTGTCAGTCTGTACCCTACTTCCACGTCTCTGGGTCTACCCTATTCCTCAGACTGTTATGTTCATTATATTCCACAAATAAGTGAGTGAAATTTGTCTTTTTCTGCTCGGTTTGTTTCGCTTAGGATAATACTTTCCAGGTTCCTCCATGTCATCTCAAAGGATAAGAGATCTTTCTTTCTTACAGCTGCGTAGTACTCCATTGTGTATATGTACCACTGCTTTTTTATCCATTCATCTACTGATGAACACTTGGGCTGTTTCCAGATCTTAACTATTGTAAATGGTGCTGCTCTGAACATGGGGGTACATATATTCTCTCTGACTGGTATTTCAGGCTTCTTAGGGTATATTCCTAGGAGTGGGATCACTGGGTCAAGTGGCCTGGCACCTTTCTTGATCGGAATATATGAGGATGTATTTCTTTGCTTACCCGAAGAAATTTGTATACAATACTTTCTTGGCCTACATGTCTATATGAACAGTAGATACAGAGGGACTAGACTCATTCCAGTTTTAATAGAGCCCAGCAGTCCCTTTAAATGCACATTTCCCATCTCCTGTTTGAAACAGAATTTTAGAAATGAGTCTTGAGAACCACGAAAACAGTCAAAAAGAAAAAAAGTTCACAATACTAAGAAACTCGAAGCACTTTCAGAAATAAGAAAACAGCGTCTGTTAATGTTTTATTTTTCACGAGTGAAAATATATACAATATATTTTACATGTACAGAGTCCCACAGCGTGAGTCAGAAAAAGCTAACAGCAGGGGGCAGATCTTTTTCGTACATTTTTCAGTTGGACCAACACTCAGGACGTGGCGAGTGACAACAGCCTGTGTACATGACCAAGAAGCTCGGTCAGAGAAGACTCGTATGTCTGTTGGGAATGGGGGTCCTCTCTGGAGAAATGACCATTTCTACTAAAGAGGCCAGTCAGAGTAGCAGAGACTGTACTGAAATCTGGGCAGAGATACCAGTGGCAAAGCAAAAGCCAACGCTGAACCCGCCAGCCAGTCTGCTCTGCTCCCCCTCCTCCTTAACACCTGAGGCCTTGGGTGATTCAAAGGAGCAAATACCAGGGCCCACTCTGGCCCTGCAGAATTGTGGTCAGCTACAAAACGGAATTTCTTAACAGACTAAGTATCTTAAATGCTTGTAAACATGGTGCTGATGCTGGGGAAAACACAAAAAGAACATCTGCTATTTCTCTCGTATAGGAAAGATACAGGCATGAGCTTTGGCTTGCCACGTGTGTGTTCCTATCAGACATTTACCCCAAAGGGTAACAATCGAGGCACAATGGATGAGATAACGGGACAACTCCCATCACATGGCAGCAAAGACGCCCACTACGATTTGGCACAGCTGGAGCAGCTGGCAACCCTGGGCGCCGGGAGATGGGGCTTCACGATGTCAGGCTCGATGGACTCCATCAGGTCGCACTCGTTGGCAAGGATGTGCTTGACCAGGCATCGGGAGGCCTCGTCGATGTTTATGTTCTCCTAAAGGGGAAAACAAAACAAAACAGCTCTTCTTATTCAATCATCTACATAAAGCTGGAGCAGAGGCCTACGGCAGTGTTTCCGGCGATTCACTGAAACATCCCTTCCTGTACCTTACCCATGAATCCTCTTGCTAGTCCCCTCATTTTCATTTCTTCCTTCAAAGAACTTTACTTTTCAGGCCTTCACAGAGGTAAAAATATTTATTTTGTTTTGTCACATAGGAGAAATAGTTCTGTAGGCTCACCTAGTAGGTTGGATTTAAGTTAGAGGGCAATTTTTTTTTTCACATGCTCTTACATGATCACATATTGCAAAATATTTTCAGTGTACTGAACACAAAATCATCTTCAGTAAAGTCACATTTGACTGTTTTTATCACAATTTTCAGAACTCCTCTGATGTGTTTCCTCACAGTCAATGTGAAGCGACAAGGACTTCCTCACCAAGTCATTTTACCACAAAACCTTGCTGTCCAACTTAAGCGTAACAATTTATTTTCATTTTCGTAGGTATATCCAAGTTGCGGATATATTTTGAGATCACTGAATGAAGTCATATTACATGGAAAATGTAAGAGGTAGTGTAGTGATGGTTTCCAAATGGTATTTAGGGCTAATGCCTAACAGCATTAGATGAAAATATTCATTAGCATGTTCTCTATTCTTCAAGCTCCACCCCGAGTTCACCTGCTATGAAAGCTGAAGGTAACTTTTCAAGTTCCAGGCAACAAACAGCCTGGTTATTTTCTCCCCCTTACAGAGCCTAAACAAGAATGCTTCTGGAGGGTTCTACATCTAAAACAAGGTTGTGCTTGTTTGTGATGTTGTTCTTACTGTTTTTTCAGGAGACAAGAATCCATGTCTCTGAGTCTCTACTTTCCCATCTGTACAATCATTCTGATGACAATACTTATCCAATAAAACATCGCTCCCTTCACTGGGTGTAGTGATCATGGGTGCTTTCACTGTGAACGTGTTATGTACTTTATATACACAATCTTTTAAAATCCCAGGATTTGCCCAGCTGGTGTGGCTCAGTGGTTGAGCGTCGATCCATGCACCAAAAGGTCACCAATTTGCTTCCTGGTCAGGGCACATGCCCAGGTTGTGGGCCCCATCCCCAGTGGGGGGCATGCAGGAGGTGGACAATCGATGTTCTCTCATGGATGTTTCTCTCTCTCTCATTCCTTTCTCTAAAAGCAATAAAGAAAAAATAAAAATAAAATAAAATCCTAGAATTTGTTTTCTGTTCTTAGTGAATTTCTTGGTGAGGTGGAGTGGAGGGGCCTATCTACCTTCAGCTCAAGTGTCTGCCTCACACAGTGGTAGCTGGTCCATAGAGAACAGCTTACTTCTGCCACCTGCTCCGCTGTGTGGGTTCCTTTGCCTTCAAGTCACTGCCCATACTTGGCATGCCTTCTGACACTCCTCCTCTTCCTGGTGTCATGCCCAGGTGTCACACTTCAACTACTTGTTCACAGGCAGTTGTCTGACCAAGGTAAGGATATACCCAGCGCAATGCTTTGCTCTTTAATCCAGCCACTTGTCTATGTGACCATCTGGGAGCCAGGGCCAGCTCCTCTCATGTCTCAGATTCAAGGAAAGTGAGGATGTGCATGTAGCCGGACATAGCCTTCCAGACCTTGGCTTCCTAGGCCAGCAAAGCTCCCCAAATAAGCCCCACAGTTGGGTGTTTATGGAGTGCTTGCCCACCCATCACTAAACAATACTTTGGTTCCCATTTGAGTACTGCTTGTATGTTGGGAAAGGAGGCAATCAAATAAATCCCTTTTCAAATGCCAAACATGAGATATCATACCTATGAGAGGAAAAAACTGAAGTTTAGAGAGATTAAGAGACTTCCCAAAGATCACACAGTGGGTGGGTTGGAGGGCCAGAACTCAGACCCGTCTTCTTGACATCAAAGCTTGAGTCTTACTAAGCTATATTCCTTTTGAAGATTGTTTCAAAGATCAAGTACAATAACAAATAAAAGTTTTTACCACAGCATTAGGCCCAAAAGATGCTATATGAATCTTAGTTCCTTTCTCCTTCATATGTTAAGAGAAAAGTATATTTCTATGACAGGAAAATCTAGTTTTAAGCATTAAAAAGGGCCCTCCTTCATAGTAGTGAAGTTGGATTCACAGTCGTATTTTTAAGTTTCTTACTTAATTTATGTTTTAAGTCATTTTATTTTCTTGTATTTCTTTTTTTTTAATTAATTAATTTATTTTTGTTACAGATGTTTCTCCTTTTTTCCCCACTGATTCCCCCCATCCCTCCCTCCCTGCCCTGTCCCCAGCTTTGTTGTCCATGTCCATTGTTCATGCATACATGCATATAACTTCTGTGGTTTATTTCTCCCCACCACTCTCTTCTGGGGATTGTAGTCTGTGCCCCACTTCCACGTCTCTGGAACTACCCCATTCCTCAGACTGTTATGTTCATTATATTCTACAAATAAGTGAGATCATATGATACTTGTCTTTCTCTGTTTGGCTTGTTTCACTTAGGATAATACTATCTAGCTCCCTCCATGTCATCTCAAAGGATACGAGATCTTTCTTTCTTACAGCTGCATAGTACTCCACAGCTTTTTTATCCATTTGTCTACTGATGGACAATAGGGCAGCTACAAACATTGGGTGCATATATTTTTCCTGAGTGGTGTTTCAGGCTTCTTAGGATATATTCCTAGAAGCAGGATCACTGGGTCAAATGGCAGTTCAATTTTTAATTTTTTGAGGTAACACCAGATTGTTTTCCATAGTGGCTGCATCCATCTGCATTCCCACCAGCAGTGTACTAGAGTCCCCTTTTCTCCACAATCTCACCAATCATCACACCTGTTTGATGATTCGTTAATGGCAGCCATTCTGACAGGTGTGAGGTGATACCTCATTTTTGTTTTAATTTGCATCTCTCTGATGATTAGTGATGATGAGCATTTCTTCATATGTCTCTTAGCCATTTGTATGTCCTGTTTGGAGAGGTGTCTATTCAGCTCCTCTGCCCATTTTTACTTGGGTTCTTTGTCTTCCTTTTGTTGAGTTGTATGAGCACTCTCTATATATATTGGAAATTAACCCCTTATCTGTAATATCATTGGCAACTATGCTCTCTCATACAGTGGGATGTCTTTCCATTTTGATGATTATTTCTTTTGCTGTGCAGAAGCTTTTGAGTTTGATGTAGTCCCATGTGTTCAGTTTCTCCTCTGTTTCTATTGCCTTAAATAATGTATCAGTGAAAATTCTGCTGCGTATGATGTCTGAAATTTTGTTGCCTACATTTTCTTCTAGGATTTTAATGGATTCATGAGTCACATTTAAGTGTTTTATCCATTTTGAGTTGATTCTTGTATATGGTGTAAGTTGATGGTCCAGTTTCATTTTTTTGCATGTAGCTGTCCAACTTTCCCAACATCATTTATTAAAGAGGCTGTCTTTACTCCACTGTAGCTCTTGCCACCTTTGTCAAATATTAATTGAGCATATTGTTTGGGTCCATTTCTGGGTTCTCTATTCTATTCCATTGATCTATCTGCTGTTCTTGTGCCAGTACAAGGCTGTTTTATTACAGTGGCTTTGTAGTATAATCTGAAATCTGGAAATGTGATCCCTCCAACTTTGTTCTTCTTTTTCAAGATGGCTGTGCCTATTAGGGGTCTTTTTGGTTCCATATGAACTTTTGAAGTATTTGTTCTAATTCTGTGAAGTATGTCGTTGCTATTTTGATGGGAATTGCATTGAAGCTATAGATTTGGGTAGTATGGACATTTTTATGACGTTAAGTCTTCCAATTCATGAACAAGGTATGTGCTACTTTTTTATATCTTGTTCTATTTCTTTTTTCAATGACCTGAAGTTTTCTGCGAATAGGTCCTTTATTTTCTTGGTTAAGTTTTCCTAGGTATCTTAACTTTCTTTGCCTCAATGGTAAATGGGATTGTTTTTTTTTTTTTGTTTCTCTTTCTGTGAATTCATCATTGGTGTATAAGAATGCCATCGATTTCTTGACATTAATTTTGTATCCTGCTACTTTGCCAAATTCATTTATTGAGTCTAGTAAATTTTTGATGGAGACTTTGGGGTTTTCTACCTATAGTATCATGTCATCTGTGAATAATGACAGTTTCACTTCCTCCTGTCCAGTTTGGATCTCTTTTATTTTTTCATCCTGTCTGATTGCTGTGGCTAAGACTTCCAGTACTATGTTAAATAAGAGTGGCATAAGTGGGCATCCTTGTCTTGTTCCGGTTCTTAAGGGAAATGCCTTTAGTTTTTGCCCACTGAGTATGATGTTGGCTGTAGGCCTTTCATATATGGTCTTTATTTTCTTGTGATATGATCCCTTTATTCCCACATTGCTGAGCATTTTTATTAGAAATGGGTGCGGGATTTTGTCAAATGCTTTTTCAGTATCTACTGATATGATCATATTATTTTTATCTTTGATTTTGTTTATGTGGTGTATCACAGGTATTGATTTGTGAATATTGTACCAGCGTTGCATCACTGGGATGAATCCCACTTGGTCATGGTAAATAACAATTTCTTTTTTTGTTATTGGTCTGTTTAAGTTTTCTATCTCTTGCTGGTTCAGTTTTGGGAGACTATGCCTCTAGAAATTTGTCTATTTCACTTAGATTGTTGAATTTGTTGCCATATAATTGTTCACAATATTTGTTAACAATCCTTTGTATTTCTGTGGTGTCAGTTATTATTTCTCCTCTTTCCTTTCTGATTTTGTGTATTTGGGTTCGCTCTCTTTGTTTCTTGGTGAGTCTAGCTAAGGGTCCATCAATCTTGTTTATCTTTTCAAAGAACCAGCTCTTTGTTTCATTTATCCTTTGAATTGTTTGTTTTTTGGTTTTTTTTTTTTTTTTTGGTCTCCATGTCATTTATTTCTGCTCTGATCTATACTATTTCCTTCCTTCTACTTGCTCTAGGGTTTTCTTTTTGTTTGCTTTCTAGTTCTTTAAGTTGTGAAGTT